CTGAACCGTCATAGTGATGTCACACCTGATCCGTCATAGTGATGTCATACCTGATCCGTCATAGTGATGTCATACCTGAACCGTCATAGTGATGTCATACCTGAACCGCCATAGTGATGTCACACCTGATCCGTCATAGTGATGTCACACCTGATCCGTCATAGTGATGTCACACCTGATCCGTCATAGTGATGTCATACCTGAACCGCCATAGTGATGTCACACCTGATCCGTCATAGTGATGTCATACCTGAACCGTCATAGTGATGTCACACCTGATCCGTCATAGTGATGTCATACCTGATCCGTCATAGTGATGTCATACCTGAACCGTCATAGTGATGTCATACCTGAACCGCCATAGTGATGTCACACCTGATCCGTCATAGTGATGTCACACCTGATCCGTCATAGTGATGTCACACCTGATCCGTCATAGTGATGTCATACCTGAACCGCCATAGTGATGTCACACCTGATCCGTCATAGTGATGTCATACCTGAACCGTCATAGTGATGTCACACCTGATCCGTCATAGTGATGTCACACCTGATCCGCCATAGTGATGTCATACCTGAACCGTCATAGTGATGTCACACCTGATCCGTCATAGTGATGTCATACCTGATCCGTCATAGTGATGTCACACCTGAACCGCCATAGTGATGTCACACCTGATCCGTCATAGTGATGTCATACCTGAACCGTCATAGTGATGTCATACCTGAACCGTCATAGTGATGTCACACCTGACCCGCCATAGTGATGTCACACCTGATCCGCCATAGTGATGTCACACCTGATCCGTCATAGTGATGTCACACCTGATCCGTCATAGTGATGTCATACCTGAACCGTCATAGTGATGTCACACCTGAACCGTCATAGTATTGTCACACCTGATCCGCCATAGTGATGTCACACCTGATCCGCCATAGTGATGTCATACCTGAACCGTCATAGTGATGTCACACCTGACCCGCCATAGTGATGTCATACCTGATCCGTCATAGTGATGTCACACCTGATCCGTCATAGTGATGTCATACCTGAACCGTCATAGTGATGTCACACCTGAACCGTCATAGTGATGTCACACCTGATCCGCCATAGTGATGTCATACCTGAACCGTCATAGTGATGTCACACCTGAACCGCCATAGTGATGTCATACCTGATCCGTCATAGTGATGTCACACCTGATCCGTCATAGTGATGTCATACCTGAACCGTCATAGTGATGTCACACCTGAACCGCCATAGTGATGTCATACCTGATCCGTCATAGTGATGTCACACCTGATCCGTCATAGTGATGTCATACCTGAACCGTCTTAGTGATGTCACACCTGAACCGTCATAGTGATGTCACACCTGATCCGCCATAGTGATGTCACACCTGATCCGTCATAGTGATGTCATACCTGAACCGTCATAGTGATGTCATACCTGAACCGTCATAGTGATGTCACACCTGATCTGCCATAGTGATGTCATACCTGAACCGTCATAGTGATGTCACACCTGACCCGCCATAGTGATGTCATACCTGATTCGTCATAGTGATGTCACACCTGATCCGTCATAGTGATGTCATACCTGAACCGTCATAGTGATGTCACACCTGAACCGTCATAGTGATGTCACACCTGATCCGTCATAGTGATGTCATACCTGATCCGCCATAGTGATGTCACACCTGATCCGCCATAGTGATGTCACACCTGATCCGCCATAGTGATGTCACACCTGATCCGCCATAGTGATGTCACACCTGATCCGTCATAGTGATGTCATACCTGATCCGGCATAGTGATGTCACACCTGATCCGCCATAGTGATGTCACACCTGATCCGGCATAGTGATGTCATACCTGAACCGTCATAGTGATGTCACACCTGATCCGCCATAGTGATGTCACACCTGATCCGCCATAGTGATGTCACACCTGATCCGTCATAGTGATGTCATACCTGATCCGCCATAGTGATGTCACACCTGATCCGCCATAGTGATGTCACACCTGATCCGCCATAGTGATGTCATACCTGAACCGTCATAGTGATGTCACACCTGATCCGCCATAGTGATGTCATACCTGAACCGTCATAGTGATGTCACACCTGATCCGCCATAGTGATGTCACACCTGATCCGTCATAGTGATGTCACACCTGATCCGTCATAGTGATGTCACACCTGATCCGCCATAGTGATGTCACACCTGATCCGCCATAGTGATGTCACACCTGATCCGTCATAGTGATGTCACAACTGATCCGTCATAGTGATGTCACACCTGATCCGTCATAGTGATGTCACACCTGAACCGTCATAGTGATGTCACACCTGATCTGCCATAGTGATGTCATACCTGATCCGCCATAGTGATGTCACACCTGATCCGCCATAGTGATGTCACAACTGATCCGTCATAGTGATGTCACACCTGATCCGTCATAGTGATGTCACACCTGAACCGTCATAGTGATGTCACACCTGATCCGCCATAGTGATGTCATACCTGATCCGCCATATTGCTTGATTGTGTCTGTGGGGAATTGATTGGCTGATTGGATGGTTGTGGTTTGCTATAGGGAGATCTCCTGTGAGTGACAGGTTGCTCCGCCCACATCATCAGAGAAGACGAGATGCTGCAGGAGGAACTTATTCTGATTCAAGGTTATTAACACAATAATGATGTGCACCTATAAATCATGTAGAATAAACACTGCAATATTCTCAAATAAAGGATAATCTGCTGAGGGCGCTTACACACACACACACACACACACACACACACACACAGCATGGGCTGTTAGGTAATGATTTAACTGACTTCAAACAATGTGTAAGAAATTCTGTGTCTTATTCCTGCAACATGTAGAAAATACTTCAGTTACTCAGTCAAATCAAAGTATCATTAACTAAATATACCTGTTCAGTCCTGCTGCGAGTTACACTTCATTACATTTACGCAGATGCTTTGGTTTAAAGTGACTTTCCATTCAAGGTAATCATTTCACCAGTTTCCTGGGACTCGAACCCGTGCCCTGTGTGTTGCGAACCCCGGCTCAACTGAGACTCAGAAATGCAGCCGTTGCTATAAATATTTTGCTCCTATAGTTTGCCATTCAAAAAGGTATTTAATTGTATTAGGAATATAATAGGAAAATGACACTAACCTCAAGTTACAGATCCAGTCAGACTTAAGATAATAAACAATTCATATAATCACATAATGCATACATTAATTTTGTCATATCCATCTAATGGCTGCGTCTGAAAGCAGGAAGACATGAACCTAGCTCTTCATCTGATGATGATGTTCCTCTGATATCCCACAATGCAGTGCGAGAGAGCTGGCGTCGGAGGTGCATCTGGTGGTCAGTTTGTGTGTAAATGTACGTTTTTGTCCAACTTCATTTCTAGTGAGAGATTAGTATTGTAGTAATTAAATGTTTGTAATCACTAAAGATCACTCTATTTAGCTAATTTTGTAATAAATTGAATGTCGTTTATCCAAAAAAAAAAAACCATTGGTATGCATTATTGTGCAATATTTCCTTAAAAAATAAGAACTGTCAATTTTGATTTCATGGTGACTTTAATGTCTATAGATATTTTATATATCCTCCTCCTCATCCAGCACGTTTAAACAACTCATTTATCGTGATTTAATCAACTATATTTCCTATATATTTGTTATAGGCTACATGACTTACATTCATTAACACTTAAATAAATGTATTTTTAATCCAATAATGAAAATTGTCCATTCCTCGCCTTCATGTCATTCAATGACTCAATGACTTTTTTCTTCCGTGGAACACAAGATATTAAACATAAATTTGGGGACTGACACTCAGTCATCATTCACTTTTATAGCTTATTTTTTACACGTTCATATGGTAAAAAATATTGCAAATCACATTGTTGTCATTATATACAACTATACAATAATGTGAACAATTAGGTGTCATAAACATTAACATCATGAATTCTTGTAAAGCTGCTTTGAAACGATGTGCATTGCGAAACGCGGTAATAATAAACTATAATAATAAACTTTATTTTTTTATGGCGCGTTTAGAAGTTTCCTCTCAAAGCGCTTTACAAGAATAAAACACACAAAATGGTACAATGACAGTGAATAGTATTCTGTCTTTTGTACTTCGCGAAGGAAAGAGTCGCTACGTGCCTTTTAAAGTATGAATTTTCATTTTCGATGTGAAATACTCTATGGAAATATTCCTGTAAGAGGGCGTATCGTCAAAATCTGGTATTGCTCAACTTTCTACCTGTACACTCCCTTTTAACAGCATAAAGAAACATTTAGAGACACAAATAAAGGAGTAATCTTTCTACAGGAAATAATAAAGGGTTTTATACTGTAAATAGTTTATGAGATGATGAATACGAGGAAGGAAATAGGTTTTTTTATTTATTATTATTTCTTTTACAAAGAAGAAACAGCACTGCATTGAATACATTAACAAAAAAATAACAAAATAAATAAATAATAATAATAATAAATAAATACAATTTATGACATGAACTATAGCTCCTCAACAAGTAGGAAAACATGTGCATAGTTCTTAAGAAATGTGTTGTTCTTACTGTTATCGATGAGTTTAAGAGATTTTACAATAAGGGAAATCTCAGCAATAAAGACATCAAATCTAGGCAAAGTCTTGAGAAATTTGTTTTTGTGAATAAAAAATGTACAATGCAACACAAAGAAATTAACAACATTATCAATAGCATAGTCACTCCCTGAAAAATAGAAGACTATATCGTTCAATGAAAAGTTTAAATCACATTTGATAAAATGAGAAAGATAACAACCCAAGCTCTCACGAGGAAGGAAATAGCATAGTCGTGTCGGCTCTGACGGGCAGTATGACGCAAGTCTCGCGATATTTGATGGTTTTATGTGATTCGGTGCGGAGTGTTACGCAAGTCTCGCGATATTTGTTGGTTTGATATAATCCCTGTGCGCCGCTCGCCCTCTCGTTCGTCCTCAGTGCAGGATAACGACACAACGCGCTCATTGCTCACACAAACAGGCGATAAAACACTCTTCATCGACAGCGCGACACTCAGCGATAGAAAGGAGTAATAATCTCGGACATCAGTGAGGTGAGTGAGGGGTTTGTTTATTAAAGAGTCGCGGCTTCATTGACGGTCGCGTCGCGCTCCTACACGAGCTTTAAATCTCCAAATAGTAGTCGAAGTCTTCATTTTAGCGGAAGATTATCTTCAAATCTAGACGTTATTTCATGATGTGTGTGAAAGCTGCGTGAAGTGAAGTGAGAGTTCAATAGGGAACAAGACAAATGTTCATTCAATAAATACTATTCATCGTTCGAATTCGTCCATTTTTAGTTTGTTTTACATTTATACACATACACACACATTATACATATACACAGTTTTTTTCACACTGGAGAGGTGAGACAGACAGACACATACACACACACACACACACACACACACACACACACACACACACACACACACACTGATCAGAGATCATCATGAGTCACCTGACAGGCTTTTCTCTGAATCACAGTGATCTGAACGAGGAAATTATCAGATTTAAAGGTCTAACTGTGTGTGTGTGTGTGTTGAGTGTACAGCTGAAGGTGTGTTTGGGGTCAGATTACTGTAGAAGTTCAGCATTACAGTGGTTTGATCCCTGTGAGCCGTGATCATGTGATTCAGGCCTTGGCTCTGAGCCAATCGTGTGAGAGTTACAGAAACACGCTCACACACACACACACACACACACACGCCCTCAGAGACAGTGCTGGATCTAACGAGCCTCTTGTGTTTCAGACTCTGGAGGATCATCCATGGACGCCCTTATGCGCTGCCCGTTCCTGTCCCGCGTTCCCCAGGCCTTCCTGCAGCAGACCCGCAAGAGCCTGGTGGCGTACGCCGTGAAGTGTCCCGTCATGATGGAGCTCGCCTCGAGGCCACTGGTGCGCTCCCTCGGGTCCACAACCTCCAGCGGTCACGGTCAGTGTGTGTGTATGAGTGTGTGTGTGTATGAGTGAGTGAAGTGTCCCGTCATGATGGAGCTCGCCTCAAGGCCACTGGTGCGCTCCCTCGGGTCCACAACCTCCAGCGGTCACGGTCAGTGTGTGTGTATGAGTGTGTGTGTGTATGAGTGAGTGAAGTGTCCCGTCATGATGGAGCTCGCCTCAAGGCCACTGGTGCGCTCCCTCGGGTCCACAACCTCTAGCGGTCACGGTCAGTGTGAGTGAGTGAGTTGTGTTTGCTGAAGAGTGTTGTCTCTGCTTCAGATGTGACCGCGGCCCCTGAGGGCCCCGCTCCCCCTGAGGCTCACCCCCCCGCCGGCTCCTCCTCCTCCAAGTGCCCGTTCCTGGCGGCAGAGATGGGCCAGGGCAGCAGTGCTGTGGTGCGGCAGGCCAGCCTGGCTCTACAGGAGGACGTGTCTGAGGTTCGCACCGTGTGCAAAGGTTCGTGAGCACGTGTGTTTTCATGCTCTTCCTTAAGAGGGAACGCGCGTCTGTCGTTTCAGTTCAGACCAATGCAAAGATCAAATGTGATATACTGTAAAAAAAAATCTGTTTAATTTACGGTAAAAAACGTCAGCTGTGGTTGCCAGAAATTTAAAAAATACTGTAGCATCATTATGGGTTTTACAGACTGAACTTAAATTTACAGTAAAAAAAAAACATATTTCAATATTTCATATCTTATATAATGTTCATTTACCGACCCATTGAAGTACTAATTTTTTTTTTTTTTTTTTTTTTTTTTTTTTTTTTTTTATCAGAACAAGGTACATTGAAAGTATACAGTGACATAAACACTATTGAAGGCCTTGCTTTTTCAAAATTTTCACCCACAAATTCCCATCCTAACACAACTTCCCCCCCCCCAAAAAAAAGGAAAAAAAAAAAGAGAAAAAAAAAGAGAAGAAAAAAAAAAATCAATAGGGGGGGGTTTGTTTAATAATCAAATTATTTTAAAGAGGGAGGAGTATATTCTTCTCAAAATAGTTTATTAAAGGGTCCCATGTTTTGTAAAATGTTCTGGTTGATCCCCTGAGAAAATATTTAATTTTTTCAGTTTTTAGAAACATCATTAGATCACTAAGCCATGCTGACATAGTAGGTGGATTGTGTGATTTCCACTCTAGGAGAATTCTTCTTCTAGCTATTAATGTGGCAAAAGCCAGGGCATTCTCTTTATTTTTAGCTATTTGGAAGTCGTCGCCTCTAACTCCAAACAAAGCCATTATTGGGTTAGGGTGAATATTTAATTTAAAAGCTGAGTTTAAAATCTCAAAGACTGAAATCCAAAATTGTCTCAGTTTAGGACATGACCAAAACATATGGGTTAGATCTCCCTTTGATGCCTTGCAGCGGTCACACGTTTCCTCTATATTTGGGTACATTTTAGCCAATTTTGTTTTACTATAATGAATACGGTAGAGAACTTTCATTTGAATCAGATTGAGTCTTGCACAAGATGAAGTCCCATTTACTCGATCAACAGCTCTAACCCAGGTGTCTTCAGATATGTCGATTCCTAACTCTCCTATCCATTCTGTTTTGATCTTTTCTATTGATACATTTTGGAACGACATGATCAGGTTGTATATTTTTGAAATGGATCCCTTAAGGTGCGAAGGGACCCTCAGAACTAAATCTAAATGCGACTCAGAGGGCAATTGTGGAAACACAGAGCAGTGGGCTTGGATAAAGTGGCGAACCTGAAGAAATCGAAAAAAATCTGAGTTTTGAAGACTAAATTTTTTAACAAGGTCATTGTAACTAGCAAAATTATTATCAATAAAAAAGTCACTACATTTAACTAGGCCTAGGTGCTGCCATTGCTTGAAAGTAGAATCTAGCTTGGCAGCTGGGAAAAGATGATTATTACATATGGGGCTTTCCAAGGAAAAATCTGTGAGTTGAAATGCTTGTCTAAACTGGTTATATACTTTGAGAGTCGAAATTACAACTGGACTTGAGGAGAATTGCAATGGTGAGAATGGTAACTTCATTGTAATCAGCACAGCAAGTGATGTTGACTCGCATGATTTAGCTTCTGCTGCACACCAGTCTGTATGTGGAGACTGGAACCAATAAACGACTTTTTGTAAATTTGCTGCCCAATAATAATTTAACAAATTCGGGAGAGCCAATCCTCCATCCTTTTTTGGTCTCTCAAGAAGCTCTCTACGTATTCTTGGTTTTTTGCCACCCCAAATAAAGGAAGACATCAGCCTATTAGTTGACTGAAAAAAGGACTTTGGCAGGAAAATTGGAAGACTCTGAAACAAATACAATAATCTGGGTAGCACATTCATTTTAACACAATTGGTTTTACCAGCTAGAGACAAATATATAACACTCCATCGTTGGAAGTCAGATTCAAGTTTTTTAAGTATGGGGCTGTAATTTGCTTTAAACAGATCAGTGTATGAACGAGTAATATTAATTCCTAAGTATTTAAATACTGATTTTGATATGCAAAAGGGCAAGTCTGTATCCATAATCTGATCTGCCAAATGGTTTATAGGGAAGCATATACTTTTAGAAAAGTTTAGTTTATAACCTGAAAAGACCCCGTAGTCTTTAAATATCTTCACAATCTGAGAGGCACATGACAGCGGATTAGTTACATATAACAATAGATCGTCAGCATATAAAGAAACTTTATACTCGACATTCATTCTTTTAATACCACTAATAGACTGTGAGGTTCTAATTACTGATGATAGTGGCTCTATAGCCAAAACAAATAGTAAAGGGCTAAGGGGACAACCTTGCCGTGTACCTCTAGACAGAGAGAAATATGAAGTACTAATTTTGAAGACGGATTTTACCAATTTAATACACTGACAACCACCAATCACAGTGGAGATGAGTCACATGATGAATCAAAGCTCATCACAAACTGATTTTCCACAAGAAAGTTACTAATATATAGAATCTGCGGTCTCATTCACACACACACTAAACACCATCATGGTAACACACATGAAAATAAAAAAATGCAATAAACATCATTTTAACAACATTAAATGTAACATAAAAACCCTAATGTACATAACCATTTCTTCATAGTTTTTTCTAATCAGTTATTTCAACTAAAGTACATAAAATGTGAAGTTTTTCACTGTAGCATTTTTAGAGTCTTTTACCGTTAAAATCAAGATAATTTTTTACAGTATATAATTAAATTTTTATATATATATATATATATATATATGGACTATGGATTATTGGATCAAGTGTTTTGAATTGTGAGGGTTTTACTTTTATAAAAACGTGTTTCTGTCTAATCTTGTATTATTTGAAGTTGTGTACGTCGTGGTTTTTACAGTCCTTTCACCGTTAGAAGCTCTAGAAGTGAGTAGTCGCTCTGAGTCCCCTGCGCTGTTCGAGCGTCTCCCGTCTGACTGTTACTGTTTTACAGACGTCTCTGCATCTGAGCTGAACTCTAAGATGGGAGGAGACCTCATGAAGAAGCTGATGAAGCAGCGTCCAGCTCGAGTCTCACATCTGCTGCAGGAGAACATGCCCAAGAGTACGTGCTTCTGTCCCATACTGACCACCACTTCCTGTAAACCACTTCCTGTCTGAGGCTTCTGTCCCATACTGACCACAGTGAGGACCACTGCACTGTAAACCGCAGTGACGACCACTGTACTGTAAACCCCAGTGACGACCACTGCACTGTAAACCCCAGTGACGACCACTGCACTGTAAACCCCAGTGACGACCACTGCACTGTAAACCCCAGTGACGACCACTGCACTGTAAACCCCAGTGATGACCACTGTACTGTAATCCCCAGTGACGACCACTGCACTGTAAACCCCATTGACGACCACTGCACTGTAAACCCCAGTGACGACCACTGCACTGTAAACCCCAGTGATGACCACTGCACTGTAAACCCCAGTGATGACCACTGTACTGTAATCCCCAGTGACGACCACTGCACTGTAAACCCCAGTGATGACCACTGTACTGTAAACCCCAGTGATGACCACTGTACTGTAATCCCCAGTGATGACCACTGTACTGTAAACCCCAGTGATGACCACTGTACTGTAATCCTCAGTGACGACCACTGTACTGTAAACCCCAGTGACGACCACTGCACTGTAAACCCCAGTGATGACCACTGCACTGTAAACCCCAGTGATGACCACTGTACTGTAATCCCCAGTGACGACCACTGTACTGTAATCCCCAGTGATGACCACTGTACTGTAAACCCCAGTGATGACCACTGTACTGTAAACCCCAGTGACGACCACTGCACTGTAAACCCCAGTGACGACCACTGCACGGTAAACCCCAGTGATGACCACTGCACTGTAAACCCCAGTGATGACCACTGTACTGTAATCCCCAGTGACGACCACTGCACTGTAAACCCCAGTGACGACCACTGCACTGTAAACCCCAGTGATGACCACTGCACTGTAAACCCCAGTGATGACCACTGTACTGTAATCCCCAGTGACGACCACTGCACTGTAAACCCCAGTGATGACCACTGTACTGTAAACCCCAGTGATGACCACTGCACTGTAAACCGCAGTGATGACCACTGTACTGTAAACAGCAGTGATGACCACTGTACTGTAAACCCCAGTGATGACCACTGTACTGTAAACCCCAGTGATGACCACTGTACTGTAAACCCCAGTGATGACCACTGCACTGTAAACCGCAGTGATGACCACTGTACTGTAAACCCCAGTGATGACCACTGTACTGTAAACCCCAGTGATGACCACTGTACTGTAAACCGCAGTGATGACCACTGTACTGTAAACCCCAGTGATGACCACTGTACTGTAAACCCCAGTGATGACCACTGTACTGTAAACCCCAGTGACGACCACTGTACCGTAAACCCCAGTGATGACCACTGTACTGTAAACCGCAGTGATGACCACTGCACTGTAAACCCCAGTGATGACCACTGTACTGTAAACCGAAGTGATGACCACTACCGCAGTGATGACCACTACCGCAGTGATGACCACTGTACTGTAAACCCCAGTGATGACCACTGTACTGTAAACCGCAGTGATGACCACTACCGCAGTGATGACCACTACCGCAGTGATGACCACTGTACTGTAAACCCCAGTGATGACCACTGTACTGTAAACCGCAGTGATGACCACTGTACTGTAAACCGCAGTGACGACCACTGTAATGTAAACCCCAGTGATGACCACTGTACTGTAAACCGCAGTGATGACCACTGTACTGTAAACCCCAGTGATGACCACTGTACTGTAAACCGCAGTGATGACCACTGTACTGTAAACCGCAGTGATGACCACTGTACTGTAAACCGCAGTGATGACCACTGTACTGTAAACCGCAGTGATGACCACTGTACTGTAAACCGCAGTGACGACCACTGTAATGTAAACCCCAGTGATGACCACTGTACTGTAAACCGCAGTGATGACCACTGTACTGTAAACCGCAGTGATGACCACTGTACTGTAAACCGCAGTGATGACCACTGTACTGTAAACCCCAGTGATGACCACTGTACAGTAAACCCCAGTGATGACCACTGTACAGTAAACCGCAGTGATGACCACTGTACTGTAAACCGCAGTGATGACCACTGTACTGTAAACCCCAGTGATGACCACTGTACTGTAAACCCCAGTGATGACCACTGTACTGTAAACCCCAGTGATGACCACTGTACTGTAAACCGCAGTGATGACCACTGTACTGTAAACCCCAGTGATGACCACTGTACTGTAAACCCCAGTGATGACCACTGTACTGTAAACCGCAGTGATGACCACTGTACTGTAAACCGCAGTGATGACCACTGTACTGTAAACCGCAGTGATGACCACTGTACTGTAAACCCCAGTGACGACCATGGTACTGTAAACCCCAGTGACGACCACTGCACTGTAATCCCCAGTGACGACCACTGTACTGTAATCCCCAGTGACGACCACTGTACTGTAATCCCCAGTGACCACCACTGTACTGTAATCCCCAGTGACGACCACTGTACTGTAAACCGCAGTGACGACCACTGTACTGTAAACCCCAGTGACGACCACTGTACTGTAATCCCCAGTGACCACCACTGTACTGTAATCCCCAGTGACGACCACTGTACTGTAAACCGCAGTGACGACCACTGTACTGTAAACCCCAGTGATGACCACTGTACTGTAATCCCCAGTGACGACCACTGTACTGTAATCCCCAGTGACGACCACTGTACTGTAAACCCCAGTGACGACCACTGTACTGTAATCCTCAGTGACGACCACTGTACTGTAAACCGCAGTGACGACCACTGTACTGTAAACCGCAGTGATGACCACTGTACTGTAAACCGCAGTGATGACCACTGTACTGTAATCCCCAGTGATGACCACTGTACTGTAATCCCCAGTGATGACCACTGTACTGTAATCCCCAGTGATGACCACTGTACTGTAAACCGCAGTGACGACCACTGTACTGTAAACCGCAGTGACGACCACTGTACTGTAAACCGCTGTGACGACCACTGTACTGTAAACCGCTGTGACGACCACTGTACTGTAAACCCCAGTGATGACCACTGTACTGTAATCCCCAGTGATGACCACTGTACTTTAAACCTATTCTGAAACGCAGTCCTCTTCTCTTTCAGCCGTGTCCAACTTCCGTTACGACGAGTTCTTTGAGAAGAAGATCGAGGAGAAGAAGGACGATCACACGTATCGTGTGTTTAAGACGGTGAACCGCCGAGCGACAGAGTTCCCGATGGCGGACGATTACTCCGAGTGCCAGTCCTTCAGGAGACACGTGTCCGTGTGGTGCAGCAACGACTACCTGGGGATGAGCCGCCACCCGCGGGTGCTGCAGACCATCACGTGAGTCTCGCTGCGCAACACAAGCAAACTGAATCGGCTATTTCCAGGACTATGAGAAATGTCGCATTATGACATTATTGCAAAATATAATGGTGTGTTTGTTCTGTCTGACAGGGACACTCTAGCGAAGCACGGGTCTGGGGCCGGAGGGACGCGCAACATCTCTGGGACGAGCAAGTTCCACGTGGACCTGGAGCTGGAGCTGGCCGATCTACACGGCAAGGACGCCGCCCTGCTCTTCACCTCCTGCTTTGTGGCCAACGACTCCACGCTCTTCACGCTCGCCAAGATGTTGCCTGGTAACGCAGAACACGCACCTTTCCAAAGCACAGACACTCAGATTCTTAAATATGCACATCATGAAGTATTTTTTATTTGTAGTGGTGGAACAGATAAAAAAATTCATTGTTCGGGTCATTTACGGTTTTTGAGTCACGGATTACTGTAACTTTGCTTTTCATTTTTTACTTAAAGTTCTTCGAATCTACATCAAAAACTAGCCTAACTGATAAAGTTCAAACATTAATAGAAACAAGTGAACAGTCAGTAATAAACAGAAGACAGAAGACCGAGAGAACACTGGCCGACAGAAGACACTCGTGACCGAACCGAGAGAACACTGGCCGACAGAAGACACTCGTGACCAAACCGAGAGAACACTGGCCGACAGAAGACACTCGTGCCGAACCGAGAGAACACTGGCCGACAGAAGACACTCGTGACCGAACCGAGAGAACACTGGCCGACAGACGACACTCGTGACCGAACCGAGAGAACACTGGCCGACAGAAGACACTCGTGCCGAACCGAGAGAACACTGGCCGACAGAAGACACTCGTGACCGAACCGAGAGAACACTGGCCGACAGAAGACACTCGTGCCGAACCGAGAGAACACTGGCCGACAGAAGACACTCGTGACAGAACCGAGAGAACACTGGCCGACAGAAGACACTCGTGCCGAACCGAGAGAACACTGGCCGACAGAAGACACTCGTGACCGAACCGAGAGAACACTGGCCGACAGAAGACACTCGTGCCGAACCGAGAGAACACTGGCCGACAGAAGACACTCGTGACCGAACCGAGAGAACACTGGCCGACAGAAGACACTCGTGCCGAACCGAGAGAACACTGGCCGACAGAAGACACTCGTGACCGAACCGAGAGAACACTGGCCGACAGACGACACTCGTGACCGAACCGAGAGAACACTGGCCGACAGAAGACACTCGTGCCGAACCGAGAGAACACTGGCCGACAGAAGACACTCGTGACCGAACCGAGAGAACACTGGCCGACAGAAGACACTCGTGCCGAACCGAGAGAACACTGGCCGACAGAAGACACTCGTGACAGAACCGAGAGAACACTGGCCGACAGAAGACACTCGTGCCGAACCGAGAGAACACTGGCCGAAAGAAGACACTCGTGCCGAACCGAGAGAACACTGGCCGACAGAAGACACTCGTGACAGAACCGAGAGAACACTGGCCGACAGGAGACACTCGTGACAGAACCGAGAGAACACTGGCCGACAGAAGACACTCGTGACAGAACCGAGAGAACACTGGCCGACAGGAGACACGCGTGCCGAACCGAGAGAACACTGTCCGACAGGAGACACGCGTGCCGAACCGAGAGAACACTGGCCGACAGGAGACACGCGTGCCGAACCGAGAGAACACTGGCCGACAGGAGACACGCGTGCCTAACCGAGAGAACACTGGCCGACAGGAGACACTCGTGCCGAACCGAGAGAACACTGGCCGACAGGAGACACGCGTGCCGAACCAAGAGAACACTGGCCGACAGAAGACACTCGTGCCGAACCGAGAGAACACTGGCCGACAGGAGACACTCGTGCCGAACCGAGAGAACACTGGCCGACAGGAGACACGCGTGCCGAACCGAGAGAACACTGGCCGACAGACGACACTCGTGACGAACCGAGAGAACACTGGCCGACAGACGACACTCGTGACAGAACCGAGAGAACACTGGCCGACAGAAGACACTCGTGCCGAACCGAGAGAACACTGGCCGACAGAAGACACTCGTGCCGAACCGAGAGAACACTGGCCGACAGAAGACACTCGTGCCGAACCGAGAGAACACTGGCCGACAGAAGACACTCGTGACCGAACCGAGAGAACACTGGCCGACAGAAGACACTCGTGACCGAACCGAGAGAACACTGGCCGACAGAAGACACTCGTGCCGAACCGAGAGAACACTGGCCGACAGAAGACACTCGTGACCGAACCGAGAGAACACTGGCCGACAGAAGACACTCGTGCCGAACCGAGAGAACACTGGCCGACAGAAGACACTCGTGCCGAACCGAAGACACTCGTGCCGAACCGAGAGAACACTGGCCGACAGAAGACACTCGTGCCGAACCGAGAGAACACTGGCCGACAGAAGACACTCGTGACCGAACCGAGAGAACACTGGCCGACAGAAGACACTCGTGACCGAACCGAGAGAACACTGGCCGACAGAAGACACTCGTGCTGAACCGAGAGAACACTGGCCGACAGAAGACACTCGTGACCGAACCGAGAGAACACTGGCCGACAGAAGACACTCGTGCCGAACCGAGAGAACACTGGCCGACAGAAGACACTCGTGCCGAACCGAGAGAACACTGGCCGACAGAAGACACTCGTGCCGAACCGAGAGAACACTGGCCGACAGAAGACACTCGTGACCGAACCGAGAGAACACTGGCCGACAGAAGACACTCGTGCCGAACCGAGAGAACACTGGCCGACAGACGACACTCGTGCCGAACCGAGAGAACACTGGCCGACAGAAGACACTCGTGACAGAACCGAGAGAACACTGGCCGACAGACGACACTCGTGACCGAACCGAGAGAACACTGGCCGACAGAAGACACTCGTGCCGAACCGAGAGAACACTGGCCGACAGAAGACACTCGTGACCGAACCGAGAGAACACTGGCCGACAGAAGACACTCGTGCCGAACCGAGAGAACACTGGCCGACAGAAGACACTCGTGCCGAACCGAGAGAACACTGGCCGACAGACGACACTCGTGCCGAACCGAGAGAACACTGGCCGACAGGAGACACTCGTGCCGAACCGAGAGAACACTGGCCGACAGAAGACACTCGTGACAGAACCGAGAGAACACTGGCCGACAGAAGACACTCGTGCCGAACCGAGAGAACACTGGCCGACAGAAGACACGCGTGCCGAACCGAGAGAACACTGGCCGACAGAAGACACGCGTGCCGAACCGAGAGAACACTGGCCGACAGAAGACACTCGTGACAGAACCGAGACGACACTGGCCGACAGAAGACACGCGTGCCGAACTGAGAGATCACTGGCCGACAGGAGACACGCGTGCCGAACCGAGAGAACACTGGCCGACAGGAGACATGCGTGCCTAACCGAGAGAACACTGGCCGACAGAAGACACTCGTGCCGAACCGAGAGAACACTGGCCGACAGAAGACACGCGTGCCGAACCGAGAGAACACTGGCCGACAGAAGACACTCGTGACAGAACCGAGAGAACACTGGCCGACAGGAGACACGCGTGCCGAACCGAGAGATCACTGGCCGACAGGAGACACGCGTGCCGAACCGAGAGAACACTGGCCGACAGGAGACACGCGTGCCGAACCGAGAGAACACTGGCCGACAGGAGACACGCGTGCCGAACCGAGAGAACACTGGCCGACAGGAGACACGCGTGCCGAACCGAGAGAACACTGGCCGACAGGAGACACGCGTGCCGAACCGAGAGAACACTGGCCGACAGAAGACACTCGTGACAGAACCGAGAGAACACTGGCCGACAGACGACACTCGTAACAGAACCGAGAGAACACTGGCCGACAGAAGACACTCGTGCCGAACCGAGAGAACACTGGCCGACAGAAGACACTCGTGCCGAACCGAGAGAACACTGGCCGACAGAAGACACTCGTGCCGAACCGAGAGAACACTGGCCGACAGAAGACACGCGTGCCGAACCGAGAGAACACTGGCCGACAGAAGACACGCGTGCCGAACCGAGAGAACACTGGCCGACAGAAGACACTCGTGACAGAACCGAGAGAACACTGGCCGACAGAAGACACTCGTGCCGAACCGAGAGAACACTGGCCGACAGAAGACACTCGTGCCGAACCGAGAGAACACTGGCCGACAGAAGACACTCGTGACCGAACCGAGAGAACACTGGCCGACAGAAGACACTCGTGCCGAACCGAGAGAACACTGGCCGACAGAAGACACTCGTGACCGAACCGAGAGAACACTGGCCGACAGAAGACACTCGTGCCGAACCGAGAGAACACTGGCCGACAGAAGACACTCGTGCCGAACCGAGAGAACACTGGCCGACAGAAGACACTCGTGCCGAACCGAGAGAACACTGGCCGACAGAAGACACTCGTGACCGAACCGAGAGAACACTGGCCGACAGAAGACACTCGTGCCGAACCGAGAGAACACTGGCCGACAGAAGACACTCGTGCCGAACCGAGAGAACACTGGCCGACAGGAGACACTCGTGCCGAACCGAGAGAACACTGGCCGACAGAAGACACTCGTGCCGAACCGAGAGAACACTGGCCGACAGAAGACACTCGTGCCGAACCGAGAGAACACTGGCCGACAGAAGACACTCGTGCCGAACCGAGAGAACACTGGCCGACAGAAGACACTCGTGCCGAACCGAGAGAACACTGGCCGACAGAAGACACTCGTGCCGAACCGAGAGAACACTGGCCGACAGAAGACACTCGTGCCGAACCGAGAGAACACTGGCCGACAGAAGACACGCGTGCCGAACCGAGAGAACACTGGCCGACAGAAGACACTCGTGACGAACCGAGAGAACACTGGCCGACAGGAGACACTCGTGCCGAACCGAGAGAACACTGGCCGACAGGAGACACTCGTGCCGAACCGAGAGAACACTGGCCGACAGAAGACACTCGTGCCGAACCAAGAGAACACTGGCCGACAGGAGACACTCGTGCCGAACCGAGAGAACACTGGCCGACAGAAGACACTCGTGCCGAACCGAGAGAACACTGGCCGACAGAAGACACTCGTGCCAAACCGAGAGAACACTGGCCGACAGAAGACACTCGTGCCGAACCGAGAGAACACTGGCCGACAGAAGACACTCGTGCCGAACCGAGAGAACACTGGCCGACAGAAGACACTCGTGCCGAACCGAGAGAACACTGGCCGACAGAAGACACTCGTGCCGAACCGAGAGAACACTGGCCGACAGAAGACACTCGTGCCGAACCGAGAGAACACTGGCCGACAGACGACACTCGTGCCGAACCGAGAGAACACTGGCCGACAGAAGACACGCGTGCCGAACCGAGAGAACACTGGCCGACAGAAGACACTCGTGCCGAACCGAGAGAACACTGGCCGACAGACGACACTCGTGCCGAACCGAGAGAACACTGGCCGACAGAAGACACTCGTGCCGAACCGAGAGAACACTGGCCGACAGAAGACACTCGTGACGAACCGAGAGAACACTGGCCGACAGAAGACACTTGTGCCGAACCGAGAGAACACTGGCCGACAGACGACACTCGTGCCGAACCGAGAGAACACTGGCCGACAGGAGACACTCGTGCCGAACCGAGAGAACACTGGCCGACAGACGACACTCGTGCCGAACCGAGAGAACACTGGCCGACAGACGACACTCGTGCCGAACCGAGAGAACACTGGCCGACAGGAGACACTCGTGCCGAACCGAGAGAACACTGGCCGACAGACGACACTCGTGCCGAACCGAGAGAACACTGGCCGACAGAAGACACTCGTGCCGAACCGAGAGAACACTGGCCGACAGAAGACACTCGTGACAGAACCGAGAGAACACTGGCCGACAGGAGACACTCGTGACGAACCGAGAGAACACTGGCCGACAGACGACACTCGTGCCGAACCGAGAGAACACTGGCCGACAGGAGACACTCGTGCCGAACCGAGAGAACACTGGCCGACAGACGACACTCGTGCCGAACCGAGAGAACACTGGCCGACAGAAGACACTCGTGCCGAACCGAGAGAACACTGGCCGACAGAAGACACGCGTGCCGAACCGAGAGAACACTGGCCGACAGAAGACACTCGTGCCGAACCGAGAGAACACTGGCTGACAGGAGACACTCGTGCCGAACCGAGAGAACACTGGCCGACAGAAGACACGCGTGCCTAACCGAGAGAACACTGGCCGACAGGAGACACTCGTGCCGAACCGAGAGAACACTGGCCGACAGGAGACACTCGTGCCGAACCGAGAGAACACTGGCTGACAGGAGACACTCGTGACGAACCGAGAGAACACTGGCCGACAGGAGACACTCGTGACAGAACCGAGAGAACACTGGCCGACAGAAGACACTCGTGACAGAACCGAGAGAACACTGGCCGACAGAAGACACTCGTGACAGAACCGAGAGAACACTGGCCGACAGGAGACACTCGTGACAGAACCGAGAGAACACTGGCCGACAGAAGACACTCGTGCCGAACCGAGAGAACACTGGCCGACAGAAGACACTCGTGCCGAACCGAGAGAACACTGGCCGACAGACGACACTCGTGACAGAACCGAGAGAACACTGGCCGACAGAAGACACTCGTGCCGAACCGAGAGAACACTGGCCGACAGAAGACACTCGTGCCGAACCGAGAGAACACTGGCCGACAGGAGACACTCGTGACGAACCGAGGAGCCGATCCGTAGAGCCGATCCGTACGCATCACGATCAATCCTTTCATCCCTAGTTATTTGCAATAAGTAACTTGTCCAGAAACAATGAGATTTATTATCATAAAAACAGGCTTTATTTCCTTTTTTAAATCCTTTGTATGGATAGTTCTCTGAGATTCTCCATATTTCTGTCCTTAGGCTGCGAGATCTATTCGGACGCAGGGAACCACGCCTCGATGATCCAGGGCATCAGGAACAGCGGCGCCAAGAAGTTCATCTTCCGGCACAACGACGCCTCACACCTGCGGCGGCTCCTGGAGCAGTCGGACCCCGCGCGCCCGAAGATCGTGGCGTTCGAGACGGTGCACTCGATGGACGGTCAGTGCGCGCCTCAGGGGATCTGGTGCAGGGTCAGTGCTTCAGCAGCTCACGAGTGTGTGTGTGTGTGTGTGTGTGTCAGGCGCTGTGTGTCCGCTGGAGGAGATGTGTGACGTCGCTCATGAGTTCGGCGCCATCACATTCGTGGACGAGGTCCATGCGGTGGGACTGTACGGGCCCCGAGGAGGAGGCATCGGGGACCGGGACGGGGTGATGCACAAGATGGATATCATCTCCGGCACGCTGGGTGAGTGTGTGTGTGTGTGTGAGATCTCCTGTTGCCTAGAGACCAGCACTCTTGTGTTGCTCGGCTGGAGTTTCCCTGAAGGCTGATTGGATGGGTGTCAGCGGGTCACGACAGAAGGTGTGTGTGTGTGTGTGAGAGAGAGTGTCAGTGGGTCACGACAGGCGCGCAGAGCTCATAAACACACCTCAGTAAATCCTTTCTTCCTGTAATCGGTCAGATCTAGACTTGGCCTAGAAACATGCGAGACGATGAGCAGTGTGTGGAGCCGGACTCTAAGCTGAGAACACAACACACTCCTCATGTCTCACAGCAGCCCATGTTTCCAGTGTTTGTTAGTAGAGCTGCACTATTTGGCCAAAATTGTGATTTATATATCGTTATTGCTATATAACAACTATTATGATTGTTGTTATTACATTATGAAATTATAACAATTACTAAATGAAAACAATATAAGATATACTACTATTGTAATATTTCACTATAAATTAAAACAATTGAGTATTTAAGAAAAATATAATAAAGTTAATAATTTTTTACTTTATAACTGTAAAATTATAATTCCAAAATGTATGGCTTTATTTCTTCGCTCTAAAACATGTTAAATGAAATCACAGCCTTTGTGGTTTGATGATGTCACTAAGCCGGTATAGTTTCGAACCTCTGATTAACCCTTCATTAACCCTTCATTAACCGCGTCTCCGTGACCCGTGTCTGATCATGTGATCTTGCTCAGTCTTGCTCTTCTGTGTGCTGAGTGTGTGTCGTGTGTGTCCGCAGGGAAAGCGTTCGGCTGTGTGGGCGGCTACATTGCTAGCACTAACGCGCTGGTGGACACGGTGCGCTCGTACGCCGCGGGCTTCATCTTCACGACATCACTTCCTCCCATGCTCCTCGCCGGCGCGCGCCAGTCCATCCAGATCCTGAAGAGCGAGGAGGGCCGATCGCTACGACTCAAACACCAGCGCAACGTCAAGCTCCTGCGCCAGATGCTGATGGACACCGGCCTCCCCGTGGTGCCCTGCCCGAGCCACATCATCCCTGTGCGGGTGCGTACACACACACACACACACACACACACACACACACACCCACACACACACACACTGCCCGAGCCACATCATCCCTGTGCGGGTGCGTACACACACACACACACACACACACACACACACACACACACACCACACACACACACACTGCCCGAGCCACATCATCCCTGTGCGGGTGCGTACACACACACACACACACACACACACACACACACACACACACACACTGCCCGAGCCACATCATCCCTGTGCGGGTGCGTACACACACACACACACACACACACACACACACACACACTGCCCGAGCCACATCATCCCTGTGCGGGTGCGTACACACACACACACACACACACACACACACACACACACTGCCCGAGCCACATCATCCCTGTGCGGGTGCGTACACACACACACACACACACACATACACACTGCCCGAGCCACATCATCCCTGTGCGGGTGCGTACACACACACACACATACACACTGCCCGAGCCACATCATCCCTGTGCGGGTGCGTACACACACACACACACACACACACACACACTGCCCGAGCCACATCATCCCTGTGCGGGTGCGTACACACACACACACACACACACACACACACACTGCCCGAGCCACATCATCCCTGTGCGGGTGCGTACACACACATACACACTGCCCGAGCCACATCATCCCTGTGCGGGTGCGTACACACACATACACACTGCCCGAGCCACATTATCCCTGTGCGGGTGCGTACACACACACACACACACACACACTGCCCGAGCCACATCATCCCTGTGCGGGTGCGTACACTCACACACACACACACACACACACACACACACGTGTGCTGACTGAACGCTCACACACACATCTGTGCTTCAGGTTGCAGATGCTGAGAAGAACACGGAGATCTGTGACCTCATGATGAGCCGCTACAACATCTACGTCCAGGCGATCAACTACCCGACGGTGTCCCGCGGAGAGGAGCTCCTGCGCATCGCGCCCACGCCACACCACACACCGCAGATGATGCAGTACTTCGTGGGTGAGTGTGTGTGTGTGTGTGTGTGTGTGTGTGTTTGTGAAACTGCGAACACACCAGTTATCAGAGTTAAACACGTGTGAGTGTGTGTGTGTGTGTGAGTGGAGCGCAGCACTGAGTTCATGTACACGCCAGCAGCTCGTGCTCATCTCAGTCGCAGTGCATGCTGGGTCTTTAGTCTCATCTCAGGTGTTCAGGAACTAAACCTGCAACATCTGACAAACTTGTAATGAGAAGTTCATACAAATATCCAAGGGTATGATCCAGCTTTCCTTCCTCCGCTCAAGCGTATATCACTGGGTATCAGTCTGAAAGAGGAGAGCGAAGTCTTGGTCATCGTGTCCTGTCAGTGGTTCCCCACAGCTTCTGCTGCACTCTATCTGGACCATTTTGTTTTAATGGCTTATTTTGTACTAATCTATTTACCTTTTTTAGAGTTTGAAAGGTACTAAAGATATTGTCTGATAAGTGAGATCTCTCATTGTTGTCCTTGAAAGCCAAAAAAGTAGTTCTTGGAAGTCCTGGAATTAAATTTTACAGTGTCTGTACGTGTTCATGAATGAAGTCAGCCATAATGATCAGTGTAGTGATTGTGTGTTTGTGTTGTGTTGTGCAGATAAGCTGAGGCACACGTGGACAGAGGCGGGTCTGGAGCTCAAGCCGGTCTCTTCTGCTCAGTGTAACATCTGCCATCAGCCGCTGCACCTCCAGCTGATGAGCGAGCGCGAGAAATCCTTCTTCAGCGGCCTTAGCCAGCCCATATCGGCCCGCGGCTGACACACACACACACACACCTCAGTCAGCCCGTATCGGCCCACGGCTGACACACACACACACCTCAGTCAGCCCGTATCGCCCCTCGGCTGACACACACACACACACACACACACACACACACCTCAGTCAGCCCGTATCGCCCCTCGGCTGACACACACACACACACACACACACACACCTCAGTCAGCCCGTATCGCCCCTCGGCTGACACACACACACACACACACACCTCAGTCAGCCCGTATCGCCCCTCGGCTGACACACACACACACACACACACCTCAGTCAGCCCGTATCGCCCCTCGGCTGACTATCATCCATCCAATCCAGAGAATACATATTTAGACCACTTGATTTGTGTATTGATGTATTTTGTTAATGAAGTAAATCTAAAGTATTTTATATTTAAAGATGTTTAACTAGTGTAAGCCAGTTTTATTCATATTTGATCCATCAATCACTCAAGCATTACTCTGATGTACTTCACAGGTTTAAATAAACTGATAATGCTTATATTTGATGTTTATTGTGGTTTGTTTGTGCTTCTGCTGAATCGCTGCTGGGTCGTTGCATAAACTGCCTGGCCTAGCCTTACGTGTTAGTCATATAATAGTGTTTTGCTTCGAAACTGGTCATAACTTTAAGCCAGTTATATAGAGTCGGTTATATAGAGTGCCAGACTAATATTGTGCAACTGCCCTGTTTCCTGCGCTCACACAATAGGGAAGTGAATGTGACTGTTATGGATCATGTTCATAACCGACCCTGGCACACTAACCTACATCTGCGCTGACGTGTTGTCCAGGAGTGGGTCATGTGGAAAACGACACTGTCCAGATGAGCACAGAGAGAGTGTGTGAGACGTCACTATCTCCATCTGACCCACATGTGGCCAGTGTTGGGAACAGGGGCGGAGTGGCAATCGGGAGAGTCGGGAGTTTTCCCGGTGGGCCGGTAGTGTTTCGAGGCCCGCGAGGGCCGGTCTGATAATAGTTATCCCATGTGAAGTGTTATAGCCATGCGCACTTGAGGGCCAAGCAAGGGAAAAAAACCCCGTTTTTTCCCGTTTTCGATAACGGAGCGTATATTTGCACTAAGTGCCTGTCTTTTTACCAAAAAGACGCCAGTCATGAAATAGCTACAGTGGCGTAGGTCGTAGGGTGTGTAGTGCATGAAAGCAGCTTTTGACGTGTTCGAATCCGCCTTTTGCCAACACATATGAGATGTAAACTGTACCGCCTATACCATAAAGGTCTCTAGCGTAATATTTTGACAACGAACTAAAATCGAAACCATGATATGGCTTTGTGCCTTTATAAAACAGCACAAGACTTTAAGTAAGTATATGGGCATTCTGTGTGTGCTGCGTGATTGAAAGAAAAGTGCGCTCTTTGCTCACGCGATCAGCATGGTGATCTGGTGTTTTCTCCAATATAAAAGCTCAAGGGTTTATTTCTTGCAAGTGAAGAAATTAGGACAAAAGTATTTTAATTTTCCTATACTATAGTGTAATGTAGGCTAAAATATACTTTGGAAATATTCATTTTCATTTATACAGTACATTTATAGGCTATATGGATTTTACGTCATAGGAATAATTATATAAATCATTATTACATTATTATAATAATTGTTTGGCATCCTAAAACACCATTGATAATGTAATGTAGACTGAGACTCTCATAACTAAAAAGAAGCTTTAATGTCCTGGTACAAATCAATGCTTTTTCTTTGTTCAACAAGCAGTTCATGGGTTGAAGCTCTTAATTTTGATCTCTCAAAGAGCACGAGATTGATGCATTTAACCTTAAAATGTACAAAATTTTCTTGCGGGGGAGCATGCCCCCGAACCCCCCTAGAGGCACAGAGGTCCACCCAACATAGTTTTACAAAATCCTATGTGAAAGAACAACCATTTATGAACTTTAATCCAGCATAGTACAACAAAGTTCCTTTTAAGTCATTAAAACTGTAAATGCCATATTAAAATGTCCTTGGACATAATATACAGTTGGCCTGCCTAAGAGGGGGCCTACAAGACATTGTGCCCAGGGGCCTCTTAATCCGACCCTGCCGGCTACGAGGGCCGGTGGTCTACGAAATTTCCCGGTAGATTTTTTGTTCCCACTCCGCCCCTGGTTGGGAAAGTTCACTTTCTACATGAACTAGTTCAAAGTTCAGTTCACAAATTTTAAAATGAACTAGTTCAGTTCATAGTTCATACTTCACAATTTTGAACTAAGTTCACGGTTCCAAAAAATGAACTAGTTCATAGTTATTTTTTTCCATATGTTGCTGCGAGCAAATTTTTTTTAAATTATTGCCACAACCCATATACAACCACTACAGCGATTATTTTATCGGCGGGCAAAGTTTGCACAGAAATGTGCGATTTTTCCCATCCTCACTGGCCTTGTCTTAAAACTGATCATACGATGCTGCTTCTTGTCTTGATGACGCATGCGGCGTGATGACGCATGTTGCCAGATTGGGTGTTTTTTTTCGGTACATATTAAGACCTGTTTACGTGTGTTTTAGCCGGGTTTTCGCCTGGAAGGCTCTATAGAAATCTGGCACCCTATTGAATGAAATTAAACTGAGAGAGCGTGCGTTCACAGACACCAGAATGAACGCGTTCACCGTAACGTTCATCAGGCAGTAATACAGTACGTTCAGTTCACGGTCGCCCAAAATATGAACGAGTTCATGAACTATTGTTCAATGAACGCGTTCAGGCACAACACTGCATGTGGCATAAGAGAAACATTTAAGAGTTGGGAAATCGTGTTTACCACAGCAAGATGGCGGTGTACCGTCCCTTAATTAACTACACAAAATACAGCAAGGTCTTTAAACTCACAGAAAATGGAGAACAAAGACTGTGCATCAGGTCCATCCATCTTCTTCCGCTTATCCGGGGCCGGGTCGCGGGGGCAGCAGTCTAAGCAGAGACGGCCAGACTTCCCTCTCCCCAGACACTTCCTCCAGCTCCTCGGGGGGGACACCGAGGCGTTCCCAGGCCAGCCGGGAGACATAATCCCTCCAGCGTGTCCTAGGTCTTCCTAGGGGAGGCATCCGGAACAAATGCCCGAGCCACCTCAGCTGGCCTCTCTCGATGTTGAGGAGCAGCGGCTCTACTCTCGAGAGACCGAGCTTCTCACCCTATCTCTAAGGGAGCGCCAAGCCACCCTGCGGAGAAAGCTCATTTCGGGCCGCCTGTATCCGGGATCTTGTCCTTTCAGTCATGACCCACAGCTCATGACCATAGGCGAGAGTAGGAGCGTAGGTCGACCGGTAAATCGAGAGCTTCGCCTTGCAGCTCAGCTCCTTCTTCACCACGACACACCCGTACATCGACCGCATTACTGCAGAAGCTGCACCGATCCGTCTGTCAATCTCCCGTTCCATCCTTCCCTCGCTCGTGAACAAGACCCCAAGATACTTGAACTCCTCCACTTGAGGCAGGAACTCTCCACCAACTTGAAGTGGGCTAGCCACCCTTTTCCGACTGAGAACCATGGCCTCGGATTTGGAGGTGCTGATTTTCATCCCAGCCAATTCACACTCGACTGCAAACCGTCCCAGTGCATGCTGGAGGTCCTGGTCTGAAGGGCCCAACACGACAACATCATCCGCAAAAAGCAGAGACGAAATCGTGTGGTCCCCAAACCGGACACCCTCCGGCCCCTGGCTGTGCCTAGAAATTCTGTCTATAAAAATGATGAACAGAACCGGCGATAAAGGGCAGCCCTGCCGGAGTCCAACATGTACCGGGAACAAGTCTGACTTACTGCCGGCAATGCGAACCAAGCTCCTGCTCCGGTCGTACAGGGACCGGACGGCCCTTAGCAAAGGACCCCGGACCCCATACTCCCGGAGCACCCGCCACAAGGGACACAGTCGAATGCCTTTTCCAAATCCACAAAGCACATGTGGATTGGTTGGGCAAACTCCCATGCACCCTCCAGCACCCTGGATAGGGTATAGAGCTGGTCCAGTGTTCCACGGCCGGGACGAAAACCGCACTGTTCCTCCTGAATCCGAGGTTCTACTATCGGCCGTATTCTCCTCTCCAGTACCCTGGCATAGACTTTCCCAGGGAGGCTGAAAAGTGTGATCCCCCTGTAGTTAGGACACACCCTCCGGTCCCCCTTCTTTTTAAAAGAGGGACCCCCACCCCGGTCTGCCAGACCAAAGGTCTGTACCCGACCGCCACGTGATGCTGCAGAGGCGTGTCAACCAAGACAGCCTCACAAGTGCATCAGGTGTGTTTTGCTTTTTAATGTTTTTAGTTAATTTAAGAAGCCACTGTAAACTTTATCTGTACATATTATATTGTTATAGTATATTTTGTGCAGAGAATTAGCTTTTGTTCTTTATTGAGGATTTCCTTAAGCTCCGCCCACTTGACTTGTGACGTATTTCCCGCTTTAGCACCAGTGTTTGCGTCACGTGAGGATCGCTTAGTTTGAAACGGACAAAACTCGCAAGTAAGCCAGTGTATATATATTTCACCATGTTTTTCCCCTTGTAAAATACATTCATTTTGAAGCTTTAGTCTCACAAGGTCAACCAAAAGTATTTAACTCCAAATAGGAAATGTGTCTGTTTTCATTGATGTGTGAACAAAACGACTCGTTGCTAACGTAATCTCTGTTCCCTGAGATAAGGGAACGAGTATTGTGTCTGCTAGATGTTTTTTCTCAGTGGATCTGAAAGATGCATACTTTTATATCCAGATTGCCCCCCATCACAGACTGTTCTTGAGGTTCGTGTTCGAAAGGGTGGCCTACCAGTATACAGTCCTGCGATTGGACGGTCTCTGTCACCTGGCACGCTTAAGAAGAGCATGGATGCAGCGTTTTCCCCCTGAGGCAGAAGGGAATGCGGATCCTCAACTACTTCGACGACTGGCTCGTTCTGAACTCTCTCAGATCTGTGCTCCTCAGCCACTCAGAACCAACGTAGCCAAGAGCTCACTGTTTCCCAGTCAGAGGATCTCAGCCGGGTGAAGGCTTGGCTGACACCGAGCGCGCTCAGACCATTCAGCGGCTTGCGACTTCGTTCAGAGTAGGGGCCCGTCACCCTTTCAGAACCTCTCAGAGGATGCTAGGCCTCATGACAGTACTTCTGCTGGGTCTGCTGCAGAACTGGCTGGAACCCCAGGTCCCTACCGAAACGTGGCGCTCAGATCGCCTCCACGTCAAGGTGGACCACGGCTGCACCAGAGCCCTGGCCCTCGGAAAGACCCCAGCCTTTACAAGTCTAGGGGACGATGGTGGTCACCACGGACGCCTCCAGCATGGGTTGGGGAGTCTGTGTCAGGGAAAGCCGACTTCAGGCTCTTTGTCGAGTACGGAGAAATGGCTGCATATCAACCGCCTGCCCTCAAAACCTTCCTACCACACCTAGCAGGTCACCACGCCTCAGTCCGATCGGACCACATGACGGTAGTGTCCTACATAACAGACTCAGGTCGAGACCCTGTACAGCTAGCCAGAAGCCTCCTCTGGGGACCCTACATCCCCAGACAGTTCAAATGATCTGGAGTACTTTCGGGAGGGCAGAGGTCGACCTCTTCGCCTCCAAACACCACCCCCGTCCCAAACTATGGGCCCTCCATGTGTGGCCCCTCGACAGGAGCCTACGGACCTCCAGCGAGAGTCCTGAACACCGCTGTGCGGCTAGAGCCTCATTCACGAGACGCCTCTACGCTCTTAAGTGGTCTGTGTTCTCCAGCTGGAGCCAGGACCCTGCATTGTGTGGAGTACCGATGGTTCTGTCATTCTCCAAGAGCTACTGGATGCGGGCCGTACCCCATCCACGCTCAAAGTCCACGTGGCGGCCATCGCAGCCCTCCATGCCCCGGTGGCCGGCCAGTCATTAGGGAAAAGCAACATGATTCTTCGCTTCCTGAGCGAGGAGGCTCAACCCGCCACACCCCCTACCGTACCCTCCGGAGAGCTATCAGCGGTCCTCAGGCCCTCAAAGGGCCTCCATTCGAACCGCTACAATCGGCCGAATTGAAGCCACTCTCGCTTAAGACTGCGCTACTGCTAGCCTTAGCATCAGTCAAGCGAGTGGGGGGCCTCCAAGCACTCTCTGGTAGCGCCTCCTGGCTGGAGTTTGGGCCAGGCGTGCCCAAGGTGCTTTCAACCCCGTTCAAAGCACAGGCAATTACGCTTTCTGCTCTTCCCACGGCGGAAGACGAGCAACAATTACACCTGCTCTGCCGGTCCGGGCTCTGAGAGCATATTTAGAGCGCTCCGTCCAGTTCGGACAGTCGGAACTGCTCTTCGTTAGCTTCGGTCGGCCGCACCAAAGGGCTTCCGGTCCCGGAGCTAAGATTATCCGATGGCTACTGGACGCTATCGCTCTAGCATATGCTTCAGGCACATATCCTTCTGTGTAGTTGGAGCTGGCCTCTGTGTGAGCTCAGCCCACCATTACTCTTAAGGGTTCTGACCCTATTGAACCCCATCAGGGCGCTATTGCCCCATTAGCCCTCTGCCCTCGGGCCTTTGTCCAGGCGTCCCAGGCTCGGTCATAGAACAGGTCGTTCTGCTTGAACATAGCACGGCGTGATTGGATTGGTTCCCCATCGCGTCTAGCAGACGCAATACTACTGACGGTTCGAAAGGGAATCATTATTTCTAGCACCTGACACTAAACATTCACAATAATCTTTGTTCTTTTAAACTTTTAATATGAAACAAAGTCTCAGTTTCCAAATCCTGTCAGTTTCATCTGTAAATTCAGTCAGTAAATGTGTGTTTGTGTGTTTAATGTGTGTGACGGATGAACCGATCATCTCTTCCTCTTTACTACTAGTGACAGCAGCAAATAAACATCAATGAACATCAGAAGGAAAGTTGAAAGATACAGAACAACTTCCTGAAATCCATCATGTCTCTTAATCCATCAATCAGTGTTTCAAACGTCAATAAAACAGCTGGAGAACAATAATGTCACGTAACGCCACGTTATCCTCAGAAAAGCCTTTCCGTGACTATAAACTCTAGAGAGGAGCGCTCTCATTAATATATGCGATTACATGTTGATTTTTACTTCACCTGTTCATTATATTTTTTCTTAACGTAATTTGTTCATTATTTAATGTAGGCTATGTTTTAAAAAATCTGTCATGAAAACAAGGCTATTACTGCCGTCGTTTAAATGTTTATATTTCACTAACAAATAGGAGTTGAAACATATTTCTATTATTAAAAAGTTGATATAAAAACTGCCTTATGTGTAGTTTAAATGTTTGTACAACTCTGTGTTATTGAGTATTGATTATTAAATACCCAATGAACTTTACAAAGTTATTAAACAGAACTGAATCATGACACTCTTATTTTTTTGGGTTAGATGCAGCAAAAATAGACCTTGAAATTACAAATGCGAGTGATCTCTTCAGTGCGTGTGTTTTAGTGTCCATCATGACTTTCTCTGAAACCTGTTGAACCTGTCCTGTGAAGAAGAGCAGATGCAGCGTCACACACACACACACACACACTTCCAGAAGAGTGTGTGTGCTACAGTGTTGGGGGTAACTCATTACAAGTAACTTGAGTTACGTAATCAGATTACTTTTTCAAGTAACTAGTAAAGTAACGCATTACTTTTAAAATTTACAACAAAATATCTGAGTTACTTTTTCTAATAAGTAATGCAAGTTACTTTGTTTTCCCCTTTATTGACTGACTGCTCTTCTGTCCTAATGTTGAGACAAATGGAAGTGCAGAGGCATTGTGTGTAAATATGATGGTTATTATAGTTCTAGATTAAATGTAAGCGTGGATATACTCATCTCACTTGCACAAAAAAGATTCAATATTCCTCAAAATGAATAAAATCAGTGAAATGCAGAATCAGAACACTATGCAAACCTCCAATACCTAAATATGTTAAATAAAACATACATTTGTATGCATTTAATCTTTATTGACCAAAGTACTTGCTTCTTTCAGTTAAACCATAAGCAAAAATGACTATAGGTTTTTTTATATGTTTTTATTGATAAAGTAAGTGTTAAATTTGTTTCTCCTGCATCCTCTTCTTCTATTACCCAGAACAGCAGCAGCTGAAAGGTTTGTTTGAGCGGCGCCCTCTACTGAACACTACTGTACTCAACTGTACAGGAGTAAATCTGCATTTCCTTCAGTCTGAGGCTTATTGTTTCACTTTTGGTGTGAAAGGGTCTTTACATTTGCCCAAAAATATATCTTTTTTGGTATAAAAAAACAAGCCCAGCCCAGGTGGAAAAAAAGTAACTAAGTAACGCAATAAGTTACTTTTTAAGGGAGTAACGCAATATTGTAACACATTACTTTTCAAAGTAACTTTCCCCAACACTGGTGCTGATGTAGATCTGCAGTCTGACTCATATGATGCTTGAGGTGTGTGTGTGTCTCCAGAACACTCTACAGGGATTTCCTTCACAGTCGCTGGTTCCCAGAAAGAGGAACTGTAGTTTTCACAGTGGACGATCACGATCATGTTAGTCACATCAGCGTGGGAACCCTGCTTTATTGCAATAAATACACTACTATATACAACTGTTAGAGTTTAAATATAGAACAACTAAAGCTGAGGAAATACTGTGCAGTTTTTTTACACACACACACACACACACACACACACACACACACACACACACACACACACACACACACACACACACACACACACACACACACACACACACACACACACACACACACCTGAGGACAGGAGACTAAGGCTATAATTCACACGGACTCATAGAATCTGGACAACGGGAGACTGGGAACACTGGTCGGCTGAGTCTGGGTTTCTGCTGCAAGATTCAGACGAAGGGTCAGAATCAGGAGTGAACAACATGAAGCGTGGGTCATCTTTCCCCGTGTCAGCGGTTCAGGCTTCTGCGGGTGTACTGGGGTTTTCTGGGCTCACTTTAGGCCTCTTTACCAGACCTGAGTATTGCTGACCATGACCTTCCCTTTATGACCACACTGGACCATCAAGCTCAAACCCTCTCGAACTGGTTTCTTGAACATGACAGTGAGTTCCCTAAACTCAAACGTCTCCTCGGTCGGCAGATCTCGTGGGCTGTGGAGGAACAGGAGACTCACATCATGGATGTGCAGCTGATAAATCTGCAGCAACTGGTGATATCATGACAATATGGACCAGAATCTGAGAGGAGTGTTTGTTGAATCTCTGCCATGAAGAATTGAGGCAGTTCTGAAGGCAAAGCGGTGTCTGACCCGCCACTAGCAGTGTGGACCTAATACAGTGGCCAGCGAGTGTAAACACAGGCTTAAGTAAAGTTACCACCATCATTTCTATTTACCTCAGATTATAACGAAATTGTCTTTTGGTTTCCAAAGTAACACGGACTGAGATCATTGCCACCCCTGAACCTCATGGCCTTCAGCGAAGCTTGATGACGAGATCTGCAGCTTTCCGTTAGAGAAACACCCAGAGCGTCACTGGCAGACTGGGAAGAGAGGAGCTGCAACAATATAAAAGCGCTATATAAATAAAGGTGACTTGACTTGACTCACGTTTCAGAGAGATTGTGTGGATTTTCAGCATGTTGGGGTTGTTTAACAAGTGCACCAGACTAAGTGAGGTTATGTTGTCTTGAATCACAGATGAAACAGATCTTGACCTATTCCTTCTCCTTTGTGATTACAATTACCTGCATTGCCTAAAAATAAAATGAAGTTTTATTAACTAAGTTCGGGAGGAGCACGTTCAGATAATTAACACGAGTAGACAGCAATCAGCAATCAATGATAAGAGGGTACATATAGACTCAACAGTCTTACCTCGATCCATTGACAGTTTGCAGCATCCCCCCCACCACCCCTTCTCCACACTCCTAGTTAAAAAAATCACTTACATACGGGGGGAGTTAGGTTCGGGCTGAATTCCGAGCTCGGAGCCCTCCCTCCGGACAGCCCGCCAAATACGCATTAAATCTTATTTCCTCAAATTATATGTAAGTGTGAACTCGTGAAATAAATACAAAGCTCAACCAATACTGTTGATAAAATGTCAAGATCAAGAACCACCATAATGTCTCTCAACAAGCAAAGCTGATCATTTATTTATACACACAAAATACACTACACAACACATTCAATGATTATCAAGTACAATGGATTAAAAATCAAAACATTCCCTCACACTTATAAAGAACTTATTAAACAACAACTACACTTAAATATTATTGTTTTGATGTGTTATAGTTACTATCACATATTTCATGAAATGCAAAGAAGAGCTGACTCTTTTATTTGGGAATGTAGTGGAGACCGAAATGAATGAAATGCTTTTAGATGTTTCTGATCAAATAATTCACCTTTCTATTTATACAATACCCTGAAGACATCACTAAATTTTTATGATGGCTTGGTGTTATTTTTTGCCAAATCTTTGAGGCACCGCCATGCTCCATATCTGCCCGGGAACCGTCTCCCAGTCCCGGGACTGGATCCTTTCCTCTGTGGACACGCCATTCAGAGCGCCTCGACCGAACCTGGAAGCAGAAGAATAATGCCAACCGTGACTCAATGTGAAGATTTGTCTCTTTAATGCCAGAGAATATTATGAACCACAATCTTCGACGATCACTGATACGTTAAAACTGGTGTACAATATTAAAGAACAGCTGAATAAGCGATGCACTTCTGCTGTCTCGGCGGTGAGAGGCGCTTACGCCACGCCAACTACCCGCTGGGGTTCCTCAGGGCTCGGTCTCGGGCCCCTTGCTCTTATTACATCACTGAGAGCTTCTCCTACACCCGCTACATCAGTACAGCGGTCGCATCACTGAGAGCTTCTCCTACACCCGCTACATCAGTACAGCGGTCGCATCACTGAGACCTTCTCCTACACCCGCTACATCAGTACAGCGCTGGCATCACTGAGAGCTTCTCCTACTCCCGCTAAAACAATACAGCGGTCGCATCACTGAGAGCTTCTCCTATACCCGCTACATCAGTACAGCGGTCGCATCACTGAGAGCTTCTCCTACACCCGCTACATCAGTACAGCGGTCGCATCACTGAGACCTTCTCCTACACCCGCTACATCAGTACAGCGCTGGCATCACTGAGAGCTTCTCCTACTCCCGCTAAAACAATACAGCGGTCGCATCACTGAGAGCTTCTCCTACACCCGCTACATCAGTACAGCGGTCGCATCACTGAGAGCTTCTCCTACACCCGCTACATCAGTACAGCGGTCGCATCACTGAGAGCTTCTCCTACACCCGCTACATCAGTACAGCGGTCGCATCACTGAGACCTTCTCCTACACCCGCTACATCAGTACAGCGGTCGCATCACTGAGAGCTTCTCCTACACCAGCTACATCAGTACAGCGGTCGCATCACTGAGACCTTCTCCTACACCCGCTACATCAGTACAGCGGTCGCATCACTGAGAGCTTCTCCTACACCCGCTACATCAGTACAGCGGTCGCATCACTGAGACCTTCTCCTACACCCGCTACATCAGTACAGCGGTCGCATCACTGAGAGCTTCTCCTACACCCGCTACATCAGTACAGCGGTCGCATCACTGAGACCTTCTCCTACACCCGCTACATCAGTACAGCGGTCGCATCACTGACAGCTTCTCCTACACCCGCTACATCAGTACAGCGGTCGCATCACTGAGACCTTCTCCTACACCCGCTACATCAGTACAGCGGTCGCATCACTGAGAGCTTCTCCTACACCCGCTACATCAGTACAGCGGTCGCATCACTGAGAGCTTCTCCTACACCCGCTACATCAGTACAGCGGTCGCATCACTGAGAGCTTCTCCTACACCCGCTACATCAGTACAGCGGTCGCATCACTGAGAGCTTCTCCTACACCCGCTACATCAGTACAGCGGTCGCATCACTGAGAGCTTCTCCTACCGCCGCTACATCAGTACAGCGGTCGCATCACTGAGAGCTTCTCCTACACCCGCTACATCAGTACAGCGGTCGCATCACTGAGAGCTTCTCCTACACCCGCTACATCAGTACAGCGGTCGCATCACTGAGAGCTTCTCCTACACCCGCTACATCAGTACAGCGGTCGCATCACTGAGAGCTTCTCCTACCGCCGCTACATCAGTACAGCGGTCGCATCACTGAGAGCTTCTCCTACACCCGCTACATCAGTACAGCGGTCGCATCACTGAGACCTTCTCCTACACCCGCTACATCAGTACAGCGGTCGCATCACTGAGAGCTTCTCCTACACCCGCTACATCAGTACAGCGGTCGCATCACTGAGAGCTTCTCCTACCGCCGCTACATCAGTACAGCGGTCGCATCACTGAGAGCTTCTCCTACCGCCGCTACATCAGTACAGCGGTCGCATCACTGAGAGCTTCTCCTACCGCCGCTACATCAGTACAGCGGTCGCATCACTGAGAGCTTCTCCTACACCCTCTACATCAGTACAGCGGTCGCATCACTGAGAGCTTCTCTTACACCCGCTACATCAGTACAGCGGTCGCATCACTGAGAGCTTCTCCTACACCCGCTACATCAGTACAGCGGTCGCATCACTGAGAGCTTCTCCTACCGCCGCTACATCAGTACAGCGGTCGCATCACTGAGAGCTTCTCCTACACCCGCTACATCAGTACAGCGGTCGCATCACTGAGAGCTTCTCCTACACCTGCTACATCAGTACAGCGCTGGTATCACTGAGAGCTTCTCCTACACCCGCTACATCAGTACAGCGGTCGCATCACTGAGAGCTTCTCCTACACCCGCTACATCAGTACACCGGTCGCATCACTGAGAGCTTCTCCTACACCCGCTACATCAGTACAGCGGTCGCATCACTGAGACCTTCTCCTACACCCGCTACATCAGTACAGCGGTCGCATCACTGAGAGCTTCTCCTACACCCGCTACATCAGTACAGCGCTGGTATCACTGAGAGCTTCTCCTACACCCGCTACATCAGTACAGCGGTCGCATCACTGAGAGCTTCTCCTACACCCGCTACATCAGTACAGCGGTCGCATCACTGAGAGCTTCTCCTACACCCGCTACATCAGTACAGCGGTCGCATCACTGAGAGCTTCTCTTACACCCGCTACATCAGTACAGCGGTCGCATCACTGAGAGCTTCTCCTACACCCGCTACATCAGTACAGCGGTCGCATCACTGAGAGCTTCTCCTACACCCGCTACATCAGTACACCGCTGGTATCACTGAGAGCTTCTCCTACACCCGCTACATCAGTACACCGCTGGTATCACTGAGAGCTTCTCCTACACCCGCTACATCAGTACAGCGGTCGCATCACTGAGAGCTTCTCCTACACCCGCTACATCAGTACAGCGGTCGCATCACTGAGAGCTTCTCCTACACCCGCTACATCAGTACAGCGGTCGCATCACTGAGAGCTTCTCCTACACCCGCTACATCAGTACAGCGGTCGCATCACTGAGAGCTTCTCCTACACCCGCTACATCAGTACAGCGGTCGCATCACTGAGAGCTTCTCCTACACCCGCTACATCACTACAGCGGTCGCATCACTGAGAGCTTCTCCTACACCCGCTACATCAGTACAGCGGTCGCATCACTGAGAGCTTCTCCTACACCCGCTACATCAGTACAGCGGTCGCATCACTGAGAGCTTCTCCTACACCCGCTACATCAGTACAGCGGTCGCATCACTGAGAGCTTCTCCTACACCTGCTACATCAGTACAGCGGTCGCATCACTGAGAGCTTCTCCTACACCCGCTACATCAGTACAGCGCTGGTATCACTGAGAGCTTCTCCTACACCCGCTACATCAGTACAGCGGTCGCATCACTGAGAGCTTCTCCTACACCCGCTACATCAGTACAGCGGTCGCATCACTGAGAGCTTCTCCTACACCCGCTACATCAGTACAGCGGTCGCATCACTGAGAGCTTCTCTTACACCCGCTACATCCGTACAGCGGTCGCATCACTGAGAGCTTCTCCTACACCCGCTACATCAGTACAGCGGTCGCATCACTGAGAGCTTCTCCTACACCCGCTACATCAGTACAGCGGTCGCATCACTGAGAGCTTCTCCTACACCCGCTACATCAGTACAGCGGTCGCATCACTGAGAGCTTCTCCTACACCCGCTACATCCGTACAGCGGTCGCATCACTGAGAGCTTCTCCTACACCCGCTACATCAGTACAGCGGTCGCATCACTGAGAGCTTCTCCTACACCCGCTACATCCGTACAGCGGTCGCATCACTGAGAGCTTCTCCTACACCCGCTACATCCGTACAGCGGTCGCATCACTGAGAGCTTCTCCTACACCCGCTACATCAGTACAGCGGTCGCATCACTGAGAGCTTCTCCTACACCCGCTACATCAGTACAGCGGTCGCATCACTGAGAGCTTCTCCTACACCCGCTACATCAGTACAGCGGTCGCATCACTGAGAGCTTCTCTTACACCCGCTACATCAGTACAGCGCTGGTATCACTGAGAGCTTCTCCTACACCCGCTACATCAGTACAGCGGTCGCATCACTGAGAGCTTCTCCTACACCCGCTACATCAGTACAGCGGTCGCATCACTGAGAGCTTCTCCTACACCCGCTACATCAGTACAGCGGTCGCATCACTGAGAGCTTCTCCTACCGCCGCTACATCAGTACAGCGGTCGCATCACTGAGAGCTTCTCCTACACCCGCTACATCAGTACAGCGGTCGCATCACTGAGAGCTTCTCCTACACCCGCTACATCAGTACAGCGGTCGCATCACTGAGAGCTTCTCCTACACCCGCTACATCAGTACAGCGGTCGCATCACTGAGAGCTTCTCCTACCGCCGCTACATCAGTACAGCGGTCGCATCACTGAGAGCTTCTCCTACACCCGCTACATCAGTACAGCGGTCGCATCACTGAGACCTTCTCCTACACCCGCTACATCAGTACAGCGGTCGCATCACTGAGAGCTTCTCCTACACCCGCTACATCAGTACAGCGGTCGCATCACTGAGAGCTTCTCCTACACCTGCTACATCAGTACAGCGCTGGTATCACTGAGAGCTTCTCCTACACCCGCTACATCAGTACAGCGGTCGCATCACTGAGAGCTTCTCCTACACCCGCTACATCAGTACAGCGGTCGCATCACTGAGACCTTCTCCTACACCCGCTACATCAGTACAGCGGTCGCATCACTGAGAGCTTCTCCTACACCCGCTACATCAGTACAGCGGTCGCATCACTGAGAGCTTCTCCTACCGCCGCTACATCAGTACAGCGGTCGCATCACTGAGAGCTTCTCCTACCGCCGCTACATCAGTACAGCGGTCGCATCACTGAGAGCTTCTCCTACCGCCGCTACATCAGTACAGCGGTCGCATCACTGAGAGCTTCTCCTACACCCTCTACATCAGTACAGCGGTCGCATCACTGAGAGCTTCTCTTACACCCGCTACATCAGTACAGCGGTCGCATCACTGAGAGCTTCTCCTACACCCGCTACATCAGTACAGCGGTCGCATCACTGAGAG